GGTCTTGTGTCTACATGTTGTTCATTGACCATTCTAACTTAATTAAACTCAATATATAAGGCAATTATTGTAATACACATAATGTAAGAAATAATTATATAATATACTAGCTGATCCCGTGCACTTCGTTGCCCCGTTAAATGTATCAATTCTATATGTCTCAAAGTTTGTTCAATTCGTTATTTAATATTCGGTGTATGCGGTGTTCAAAATTAATCTTAACTTTTCCGTTGCCCCGAATAAAAATTCTGATTCGCAACAGTAATCTACCTGCGATAGATCGCGTACCCTGTGCTGTTTGTACGTGTTTGTAAGTGTATGATTTAACTCTAAAGTATCAAAGTTATACCAAGTTTATCGTTTTTACTTCATTTCGCCTAAGGTGGATTATTATAATCATTTTATACAAAATCCTATCCTAACCTAACCGTACTAAAACCCGATGAAAAAAAAACAAATTTAACCCTTAGTAAATTAACCTATCTTCTTCCCAGACGTCTAATCTACCCACAAACATTAATTTATATATATATATACGTATATATATAACTATATAAATACACGGACTATAACTATACAGACTCTGGAACTTCTTATTGGATCTTTTTGTATTTATTATATATATATATGATATATGTATACCTATTGACAAAAAATAATGATACAAATCAAAAACATGCCCGATTAACCAATAGCAACCGATATAATATAATACACTGGTGGATTTTCCTAACATTATTTTTTTTCATATAAACCTTATCCATGAAATACTCTTTCATTTAAAAAAAAATAAAGAAGATCTGATAAGAAGCTCCAGAGATAAGTAGTACAGAGATTTTCATTTCACATTTTTATAGTTAGATATTATATTACAATTTATATTTAAAAAGTAAAGCAAATAGTTTTTTTTTTATTATTTTTATTATTGCAACAGCTTAAAAACCCATGGCAACCATTTATAAACAAAAATTTCCATCGGAAATCTCAAAATTCCCGTTTGAGCACCTCCCGGGGTTGGTCCTCTCCCTTTTTAAATTAGCCTATCTTTTAAGTTGGACCAAATTACACGCGGTGTAAAAAATTTCATCAAATCGGTTAAGTGGTTTAGGGGTCCATTGAGGACAAACATTGTGACACGAGATTTATATATATTATAGTTATATATTTGTTTATGATTTTATTGTAATTCTTATTTATATTTAAATTTGGAATACAATTTTAATTCAATGAAAACTTAGATTAATAAAATTAAATCAAGCAATATTGTTCAAAATATTAAACATTAATGACTAAAATATTATGTTATGTAAAAACTAATTAGTAGGTAATAATAAATTACAGTAGTTTCATGAAAATTAAATAAAATAATAAAATACCATTTTAGAATTTTAATTACTAAACACGTACTAAAGAAAACAAAATAAATAATTAAAACTAGGTTCATTCATTATGAAATTAGTTTACCTACTGATTGTGTAATGCACAATAATTAATGGATTGATTAAATTAAAATTTGTCTATATATTGTTTAGTGCGGCCCATCCATAAAAAATGCTCACACGATTAAGGAATTTATATTACTGATCCTCATATTGTATTTTGTAATACCACCACAGCACCTCTCATAATTTTAAGTTACATTACACATCACACACATCATTTTCTTATTTATTCAATTTATGTATAAAATTTGATTAACTGATTGTTGTTCATCGTCTTTTAAGTCAATCAATAATAAAGTATCCTGTATTTACAGTAATTTTTACTTTACTTACTGCAAATTAGATCATTTTCTAAGATACAAACAATTATAATTTTACTTAGGTAGGTACCCTGAAATTTAGCAAGATTACACCACACATAATACACTAAAATATTTTTGCAACATATCAATATCATTGAATAAAATACAAGATAGAATTCAATAATTCTTTAAAAATAGATTTTGTAATATATGAACAACTGTTGGAATAAAAATAAAATATTCTTGAGAAATGACTAAATTAGGTACCTAATTTATTCAGTTTTAAATAATATGCAGGGACGTCCTGATGATTAGCGTGGCCCAGGGCAGAGTAAAATTGCAGGGCTTAAAGTGTCATAACGTCAATTAGCTGTTGAATATAATATGATATATACATAGGTATAAAGGGGCAATGCGCAAATAGACTCAAAAATGTAGTACCTTCTACCTACAATATAAATAAGTAAATAAATGAAATATGAATAACACAACACTCATATATTTAAACTTAATATATTAAATAATAATATTGATAATTGAATAAATCAATATATACCTAATACAATATAAATAAAGGTAGACAAGTGTGTACCTACTGCTCTGCTGTACATTAGTTGTTGTTGACTGTTGTAATGGATGTGTTATATTTTAACCCGTCGTTGGTATCGCTATGTAAAGTCCCGCCATTGGTATTGAGTGAGCGCAGCGCTCACCTTGTTGTTTTTTCATCATTATTTATTATATAATGAACATAAAATATTGAAACCAACAACGAATTATTTATAGTTTAATCTTTTACAAAAAATGTTCTTACAATTTTTCTCGATTATAAATTGTTAACCACTAAAAATTAATTTATAATTTTTTATACATAATTATATAATAAGATAATCATTATCATTCATCTTCGCCTTAGTGGTCTGGAATATTTTGCTGATTATTATGCAGTACACATATAAATGTTGGGTGCTACTTAAAAATAGGTCTGAGTTTACGAAAAAGTATTTGGTTGACAGCTATTGAGTGAGTGAAACGCTGAATTTATGGATATTAACAACATTGCATGTCGATATCTAATCAAGAATTATTTATACAATTTTTATATTTGCAAAAGTATACTTAAATATGTGTCGATTGAAGGTATAAATAGTATCAGATGTATCAAGTAATAAATAAACAAATGGCTCTCAAAATACTAACGAGGTGAGCGCCGCGCTCACATCGCGACCACTGACGGGTTAATTCAATGATAAATCAAAGTAAACAAAAATAGAATGTACAGCCTAGCATACTTGTATAAATAATCAAATTTAATAGTTAAAATAAAAATTATCAAAGATCAAAAATATCCCGAGGCTATAAAAAGTGTAACTTTTTCTTTTTGATAGCGGTACAAAAACTTGTTGGGAACCTTCTATTAAAATATATTGCATACTGGCTATAAAAAGAAAAACTTTACGAATTCTTTCTGTAATATAATTTACAAAATTTAAAAAAAAATGATCAAGGCTATAAAAAACTAAGAGTCAAAATAGTATGCTAATATAAATGGTGAAAATTTCAAGATTCTATTATAGTACTAAATTATGTGTACTTATGTCTCATCTTTAATATGACATAGTTTAAATAAGTTACAATTTTAGAAATAATTTTAACATCAAGTATGCCAATGTGTTTGTAGTTTTTCTTTAATAATGATTATTAACAATCATCAATAAGCATACTTACATAATAAAATATAAATACTATATTATTAATGATAACAAACTAACAAGCTTTATTCTAACAGTTATACTGAATCACAAACCTATACTATATTATTATTTAGGATTTACACATTGTAAAATGGTAAAGAAAAACAAAACTTAACTTTCTCATCATAGATTCGCATAAATTGTTTCTGACCCGTTATTGCTAGGATGTGAGAATTTCCTTAACATTGTTTTTAAATTGAGAACCACTAGATCTTTGTGATTATATACCAGTCCCTATAGCCATCATAGTTTAGGTTCTATGTTGATCAGTTAGTCAGTCAGTACACATTTGATTATAATATATAGATGCTTTATTTTTTGTCTAAGTAAACATATTAGGTTTCGAAATCAAATAGAGTTTTGTAAGGGTACACAAGTAACAGCTTAATAGTATTATTTTACATTTTATAGGTCTGTGATTATATTATATTTATGGCTCTATAAATTAAAAATTAAAACATTTAAAATTGTATATTATTTATTTTAGATTATACTAAATTAATTCATCCATGAAAAGTGAATAATTAATTGTATGAAGGTGAAGTAATCGCTCTGCGTGTGAGCAATGGCATTTAAATGTTATTATTAATTGGCTTCACCAAGACTAGTTATAACTACATTGCATGTAAAATTATGTTATAATTTAAAATGTACATACATGTTATAATATAATAAAAATTAAATCTAATTAATTTCCACATTATTTAGTAAGTAATATAAAATAATACATTAACAACTAACATACTTAAAAATCAACTTTGCATTAATACTTTCCGATGATTTATAATAAATGAGCCATACTCGATATCATATTTCATCTAAAAAATATATTTTTACATATATATATCAATAATTCCATTTTTCCTACATATATACACAATCTTGATAATGTATGAGTATATTTGTCAACGTCAACTATATGAACTTATCGTAATTTTTGTTACGATTTCATGTTCCAAAAGTACGTAATCAAAATAATACCAGTCATTAAATCTAATTTAGTCAAAGTAATAAAAAAAATATTATCATTAAATACCTATTATATACCCTATACCTTATTAATAACAATTGTGAATTCTAAATATTTTTCATTTTTTTTAAGTTTTTAAGTTTTTTCTATTTTAGAACTTATAATTAATATAGTACTTATATTTAAAATTTGTAATACATTTTGTATTTACTTATTTATCAATAAAAGTTTAAGATGTCATAAAATATAGATACGTAATAGACAATTAAATTGTTAAAAAAAAGAAAATTGAATAGTTATTTATGTATATATATTTTTTTTTAATTATAAAATAGGTATTTATAATAATAATCAATTAATCAAACAAATGAACAAAGAAATTATTGATAAAACATTAGTTTATATAAATCAGTGTCCACATTATAATTTACCATTCCAATAATGTTTAAATTATCAAATTTATGAGGACAAGAATGTTTTTAAAGCTTAAATAGTTCTGACATTGTAATAATTTGTAAACAACTGTTTTCTTTTACTCAACATCCAAAAAGTTGGCTGCAATCAGAAGTTCCAAAGCGATTTGTGGTGGAATAGGGAACTCTGGAATCTCGAATGGGCTGTTTGTATAACGAACTTTGTATGTAAAGTACATACAGACCTTTTGTAAAACGTGAGATCTAAAAGTAAACAAGAAAATAGTATATTTTTTTGACTTCCTTTAACAAGGTTTGTATTATATTATACATTTATATGGTGGTCATGCCACCATAACTTACGGTATCTCCCTAAAGTGGATTTCATTTGTTTCGTTTTCTGAAAACTGGCCGGGGCCACTCAACATGGCTTTAATTGTGCCTGACATCAAGGCATGCTCCCGCTTGACGATAAACTCATGCCCGTCGCTTGATATCAGCTTGACATACATGGCATCCGGACCCTCACAGTCACCATATGCCGAATTCTCCTCATCCTATACACAAGCAAACATCATTAATTTAATGTGGTCATCGTCACATCATTCGAGTATTTATATTTTATTATTATAATATATCCTGATGCGTGTCATCTTACATTTATCCTGTATTATTACGGAGTCCCACAGTATAGATATAAGTACCTATGTAACTATTTTTGATTACATAACAAAAATTATAATAACAATCCTTTGGCCTGCTACATAAACAGATGCCAAACTAGTCTCATTTCATCGATTGCTCTGTGTATTGCTAATTGATACCAGGTTAACGGAGTAAAGTAAAATATATTATATTAACATTTTACTTCAATCAGTATGAATAAGAGTCTTCTTTTCTAATAAAGTGAACATCAAAATCCTCTCATTCCCCCGTTTGCTATTAAGAGGACGCTACACAGACATCTGTTGTCTCTATCTAACAAGTGCGTAACATATCAAATTAGCAGATCAGGTTTAGCTCCGTTAGTGTAAAAAATATTAGTGTTAATTGACCTCTTATAGAATTTAAAGAGGCTTCTCATAGGCTCATATTTTATTTTTAAAGCGAGTTATAAGTAGGTATTTTAAATTGTAAATTATCTGTAGGTACATCTTAAAATACTCAAAACTCGTTTTAAATTAAAATACAACAAAAATCCTAAGAGACGCCCTGGATAATACTTTTACCTTTTAACTTTAATATAAGAGGTCAATTCATTCGCAATTTTCAAACAGAGCTAAACCTGATCTACTGAGCGTAAAATTTGCTGCAGAGACAACTAATGTCTCTGTAGAGTTCTCTTAATATTTATCACTGGTACACGACACCAGAGATAGACAACGTTTTAATAGTTACTACCAAGTAAGAGTCACTCTGTCGGACATTATCAATATTATCGTCGTTACCTGGCCGTCTTGCACCATGTCGACACTCATCTTTTCGCACGACGTGTAAACATTAACGACAATGACGTTCCGCTCTCACGGACAGGTAGGACACGAACGGCGAAGTGAACGGTCGTCGATTGCCACTCGCTTGTTCGAATAGTCTAGTTAAGGCGGACGAAGGGATATTTTATTACGATCCGAACGACACCTTCAGCATCCAATTTAGTGGTGTGGCTTATATGACTTATGAATTATGACGGACGACAGGGAGAACGCGAATGCCAAATCACACGTGTGTGAAGTTGGGTGACCAAAGCTAGGTGACTATATTTTCGGGCGGCTAGTGATAAGAAACCTTGCACGTTGTGTTGCATTCTTTAAATTTCAAGGGTGCCTACTATTGCATCGAAACTATAAAGTAGATGTCGCCCTATGACATTTAATAACTATTTATTTTAAAAGTATATAAATAAATAATAAATTCTATTGGCGTCATTACCACGATAATTATACCGAAACCATAACTATACCGAATTATACAAATCAATATTAATTTAAAGTTAGGTTATAAATTGCCCTAATTTCGAAGACACGTTCTAACAAATGTACATTGTACTTTTGCAGTTTACATTAACTAATTAAAAGTGTAAACTGTTTAACGATGTCATTTGTTAGAGATCACATTCTACGGAAACAGGTAAGTTTATGTTATGTTAATTGTTTTTATTTAAATTAATTATGTAATATTCCGTTTATCTATCCACATACTGAATGGTAGTGTCTAATGTCTATGCAAACGAAAAATAGGCAAAACTCTATGTATTTGTTTTTTTTTTATTTTTGCGGCAGTGTTCCGGAAGGAGTCGAAGGACCTAACATAGATATTCGGAAAGCCAGGAAAATTTACTATCCGACGAGATAATTTTCAAGAGCTCCCGGGCTTTTTAAGTAACCGTACTTAGTGCACTAAAGTGCCAGGTGACTAATGCCGGTATGACGCGAAACGTATACGCGCGCGTCGTTTTTGATTTTTCCGGCAGTGTTCCGGAAGGAGTCGAAGGACCTAACATAGATATTCGGAAAGCCAGGAAAATTTACTATCCGACGAGATAATTTTCAAGAGCTCCCGGGCTTTGGAGGTAACCGTACTTAGTGCACGAAAGTGCCAGGTGACTATTTTGGTGAGTGCTTATATTTTGTATTTCTGTGTTGTACGTATTATTAGCCACCATAGCTGGCGGCTTCCAAAAATTATTAATGATGATTTCTATAGGTACATCACGATCTTAGACAATAGCTGTAAGACCGTGATGTACAGTGTAAATATAATACAGTATGAATTATACTTACACTGTATGAGATTTTCATTTAATTATTGTCTGTCTTATCTTTAGTGGTATTGGACTTTGCACTGTTCATTTTAAAATAACTACACCATAATGGTCACAAGAATGATTCTTGTGACAGTTAATTTTGGGAATGTGCACAATATTTATTTTTTTTAAATGGCACGACCCATCTTTGACCACAAACTAATTTTCTTTGTATTTTTTAATTAATTTTAGTGGTTGAATTTCTTTTCTAAGTTAATAAATGACCGAGTTATAGTTATCTGATTTTATGTTAACTTCGTATTTTATAATCTGTTTTACCCATGTATAAATAATTTGTGGTCAAAGATAGGTCTGTGCCATTTAAAGTAAAAAAAATATTGTGCACATTCGCAAAATTAACTGTCACAAGAATCATTCTTGTAACCATTATGGTCTAATTATTTTAAAATGTGGACATAGGCGCACATAGGGTGTTAATTTAGGGGGTGCTGGGATAATTTATGGTTCACAGATCCGTGGGGGGGGGGGCAATTTTGTCAAAATTTGGATTTTAAATAATTATAAAAAAAAATTGTGCCTATGTATTTTTAATATTTTTCAAGTGTTAATGTAACAGTATATCAGGAGCTTTGCATTGAATTTTCAAGCTTTTTTACCATACAAATAAAATTTTATTGATATGAATAGAAAAAAAAATTAAAAAAATTGAAAACTGAAAATGTCCGTAAATAGCTCAAAAAGAATCAAAATATTTTCAAAACTATATGGTGTATAGGAAATGCTAATATAAAAATTTAGTAAAATTTTCAAGTATCTACAGTCATTCGTTTTTTAATTACAACAAAATTAGAAAATCGTTACATGAGAAATCGAGTGAATATCAAATGTTGTAAAAATATGAATTTCAAACGTTGATAAAAATTTAATTTGAGATTCTTGTAGACATTTTTTTTTGATAAAAGTAGACAAACTTATGAGGAATCTTGCATTACATTTTCATATCTTAGATTTAAAAAGAAAAATTTTTATGAATTTCTAACTCGAAATAATTTGCAAATTTTGGTCATTTTGTAGCATTTTGTTAATATTTGGAATTTAAATGCTTATAACAAAAAACTGTGAGTAAGGATTTTTAATATTTTTCATCTGCCTTTGAAACAATATATTAGGAGCCTTCTATTAAATGTTTAAGCTTTTATACCCAACAAATAAAATTTTATTGATACTTATAGAAAAAAAAACTAAAAAAATGGAAACTAAAAATGTCCGTAAAAGCTCAAAATAACTCAAAATATTTAGAAAATTTTATCATGTATAGAAAATGGAAATATAAATAACCAGTGAAAATTTCATATATCTACGGTCATTTGTTTTAAAGTTACACCAAAAACCAAAATCAATTTTCTCGAAAACAGATTTTGCGTAAAAATTCCCGGTTTTCCTTAATTTTTCTTTTGTTTTTCACGGCGCTTTTGAAAACTACTGTGAAATTTTTGCTTTTGACAACCCCCCCCCCCAAAGTACAAACTAGATTCACTTTCCTATCAGAAAAGATATTGTTGAAGAAAATCCAACCACTTTTACTGTCCTAAAAGATGATGACAGACAAAAAAAAAAAAAAAAAAAAATGAATTCGTGAATTCGTAAACACCCCCAAGCACCCCCCTATGTGCGCCTATGAATGTGGATAATACTGTTTACTAGTCAGCCAAAAAAGCAGAATCGAAATACATGAAGCCTGCACATAGTTATTGAGTGTTTCCACTTATCGTGATCACACTGTACACAGTTTAATAAAATTTTTTGATTAAATGTAAATATCTAGATTTTTCACTATGGAAATTATGATGATGTTCCAGTAGAAAAAGTGTAGTCAATACCATCATGTATTCCTAGACACAATTTAAAAATATTTTATTAAATATTTATTATAAATGGATCTCTATAAAAAATATTAAAAATCATATTGACTTACCAGGTAAATAAGTTAATGGTAGAGCTAAAATGTTTAGTGTACTTAGATTTCATTAATAAAAAAAACCCTTCTTTGTCAATAATCGTGATTTGTTAAACGTATGCATTACTATTTTAACAAAACTACAATTTTTTTAACACATTTGGCGAGATATTTAATTTATATAAAACTTTATTCGTAGTATATACACATCGATATCAAATTTATTTTTATTTTTGAACAGTTTATGTTTACACATTTATAATAGTACTTATAATTACTTATATGTACCTACCTATAAAACACAGTAAAAGTGAATAATTTAAACTACTAATGTTACGATTTTTGTGTTTAAAAAGAAAGGTTATTACCTATTCAATAATTCAATAATATTTAATAATGCGCTTTTATACTTAAATAAAAGCTTATAATTTACTTCCACTTAATTTACCTGATAGTTAAATTAACAGAATCAACACGCAAAATCTATGTGTATCTTTTTATTTTCTAAAAAAATGCTATATATTACATTTGCTGTTTTTGCTTTTCGAAAAATACTATATTTTTGCTTTCTGTCACTCATCATTGTGTCTGCAGTAATGAATCGCGGTAAAAAAGTCCGGTGAATATTATATTATATAGTATATACATAACAATATTTATATTCAATGATTATAATTATGTACTTAGTATAATAACATAAAATATACATAATATATCAATTAATTAATTAAATTGAGTAGGTACCTATTAACTATCGTCATAATATAAAATATTATACAAAAAAAAATTCAATGATTATAATATTATGTAGTTATTATCATAACCTAATAATGTATGTTGAAGGGTATATGCATAACCACAACTATTTTGGTGCCTTTTTCGTTGATTTGTATGATTTCTGACATTTCTGACATTTTTTCAGGCACTTACGGAATGTCGAACTATACTGACAAAAATCACAACTGTTCAGTTACCTATGTACGATATGTAGTTACACGGTGGAGTATGTCCACCACCTATAGATAATAAATATCTCTATCTATATTAACTAGGTATATCGGATGTATATCAGATATAGGTACGAGTAAAACTCGACAAACCTGATAATTAAGATAAAAGAATTAGTATTTGATTATTACATGCAACTAAAAGTCAAGCAGTGTTCAAAGTCCAAAAAGTAGTTATTGGTACATACGAGATTATTTATTAATTTTGTGCGCGTCGCCGGGCGGCATTTTTCTCAGGGCAAGTCACGATTAGGTTAGATACCTACTGGTGCCCAATTCGAAAATTCTGCCATAAACCCTAATCTAACCTAACCCAATGCCCTATGTTGCCGCGGGTTACCCAATAAAAAAAAAAAAATTATTAATTTTGTCAGGTAAATAATTTAGTTACAATTTATATTTATACTAATTGGAAGTTTGATTGTGCATCACATGGTATTTTTCCTTTTACCTAATTATATGTACCGGACTTTTTCACCGTGGACTTTTTATATTTTGGACTTTTCCACCGTTGACTTTTTATACCTCGGACTTTTTTACCTAGGACTTTTTGGTAGTATACCGTCTGCAATCCACCGTAGGTAGATTACCTACCTGATATACTGTTGCATACTGTCCACAATCCAATTCGTATTATAGTATTTTGAAAAATCGGAAAAAAAAATGCGTACCTAATAGGCATTTAAGAATTTTAATTTTAATATACATGGTTATTTGAAAAAGTGGCCTAACGGGAAAACTCCCGCGAAT